TCTTGGCTCATTGCAACCTCTGCCTGCCTGGATCAAGCCATTCTCCTGTCTCAACCTCCTGAGTAGCTGAGATTACAGGCAAGTGCCACCACATCTGGCTAATTTTTGTGTTTTTAGTAGAGACAGGGTTTTGTCATGTTGCCCAGGCTGTACTAAAACTCCTGGCCTCAAGTAATGCACCTGTCTTGGCTTCCCAAAGTGCTGGAATTACAGGTGTGAGCCATGGCACTCAGTACTTGCCAAGGCCTTTGATAGCATGCTTTTCCAGGTGATCAGTCCTTGTCTGGTCTGGCTCTGCCACAATTTCCACCACACTACGTTGGAATCCCTAGCTACTTTTCAGAAGAGGAGAGTGTGTACTTTATCCCAGCTCAATATGGTTCAGATCTGCATTTAACTCATGGAACCTGGCTGCTCCCCAGTCCTTGGAGAAAAAAAGGGTCTCTCTGTGAGTATGATACAGGATGAGCCAAGATCATGCCACTGCACTCCAGCCTGGGCTACAACAGTGAGACTCTATTTAAAAACAAAAACAAAAAAAAAGAAACCAGGGGGATCAATCCAAGATGGCCGTTTAGGAACAGCTCAGGATTGCAGCTCCCAGTGAAAGTGCAGAGGTTGAGTGGATGTCGCATTTTAATTGCCCACAGACTAGGAAATTCCCAGGTGGAGGAGCCTCAAGGACCGGCATGGCAGTTGTGTCAGCCGGCACGGCTGTTTCGCCCCGCACGGATGCTTTGTCAGCGCCCCTTTGCAGTGGTTATCCATACAAAATACACTGGTCCAGGAGCCATTTTGGCAGCGATTGGAGCCACGGGAAGTCGCCCATTCATCTGTTTAAAAGGGGGACTGAACAGGGAACCAGGACAGTAGATTCCAGGGCAAAAAAAGCGCCACGAATCTCAGTGCCACTGTTTAAGCCAGCGCAGGGAGTGGCTGCAGGGGAAAACACACAGANGATCAGGCTCGGCTGGTCCCACCCCACAAAAGAACAGCAATCAGAAACTCTCTGGATTGAGGGTTTCACAGCAAGCACAGCTGAACCCGGGATGGTCCAGCTCTGTAGGGGAGAAGCGTCCACCATTACGGAGGCACTTCACCACTACGGAGGTAGTCAGCCAATACTGAGGTAGCCTGCAATTGCCAAGGCAGCACGACATTGCTGAGGCAGCCTGCCATTGCCAAGGCAACCCGCCATTACAGAGAGAGTCTGCCAATACAGAGGTGGGCCCTGATTGCCGAGGCAGTTCTAACTACACCCATATAAACAGGACTGCAGGGAAGTTCACTTGGCAGCTGAGCAAAGCCCACAGCAGCTCAGCAAAGCCTCTGCAGGCAGACAGTGACTAGGCTGCATCCTTGCTGGTGAGGGCAGCTCTGAAGGAAAAAAAAGAAGGCAGCAACACAAAGGAAACTCATAAATAAAGCCCTAAATCCCTGGGACAGAGCACCTGGGAACATAAAGCGGTTTATGAGTTCTGCTGCAGCAAACCTAAATGTACGTTTGAGCATTTGAGCTCCTATAAAGAAGAGACTGTCTCCTCTAGCAGCTCCCTGACCCCTGTATATCCAAAGAGCAACCTCATTAAGGAAAGGTCAGACTGACACTTGGCAGGGATCCTTCTGGGACAAAGATAGCAGAGGAAAACTGGCAGCAACCCTTACTGTTCTGCACCTATGGCAGGTGATCCCCAGGCAAGAAGGGCCTGGAGTGGACCTCAGCAGACCTACAGCAGAAGGATCAGACTGTTAGAAGGAAAACTAAGAAACAGAAATAATCTCATCATCAAAAAACAGAACGTCAACTCAGGGATCCAATCTGAAAGCCAGCAACGACAAAGATGACAGGTGGATAAATCCATAAAGATGGGAAGAAACCAGCACAAAAAGGATGAAAACTCCCGAAACCAGAACACCTCTCCTCCTACAAGGGATCACAACTCCTCACCAGCAAGGGAACAAGATTGGATGGAGAACAAGTGTGATGAAATGATAGAATCAGACTTCCAAAGGTGGGTAGTAAGAAACTTCTGTGAACTGAAAGAACATTTTCTAACTCAATGCAAAGAAACTAAGAACCTTAAAAAAGATTTGACGAAATGCTAATGAGAATGGACAAAATAGAAAGGAATATAAGTGAATTGATGGAGCTGAAAAACACAACACGAGAACTTCG